CTAGATCCTAGCCAACAGCGAAACATCACTCAGTGTTTACTGGAAACTTTTTATTTTGTATACAGTATTTGGCTAAAGTTTTTTTTTTCACATTTCCTTTTTCAAATATAAAACAAGGGAACATTGTTCTCTGGTAGGCCTATGTGTGTGCTGCGTCGTCGTAGTCGCCTTAAAAAACGAAAACAGCTCTTGGTCTACTACGCGAACAGTGTCTTGGCGTTGCCGTCACGCTCCATTAGTTCGTAGTAGACTGGCCGCGTAGTCAAAACGAAAAATGCCTAATGACCCGAAATAAAACAATAAACATAGAGGGCTCACTCTTATTCAAATCTATCAAGGCCACGACAAGCCTGTATATCCTCAAATATATATACATATATTTAATGTATATATAATGTATATTTAAATATTTGTTTTATCCAATTATTGACCTATAACGAATATCCCATTTATTTCGAAGGTTATTGAGAAAGTTGTTGCTGTGGCTTTTTAGTGAAACATCTTGCATGCAACAACCTATTTGATCCATACCAGTCAGCATACCGCAAGTTTGACAGTACAGAAACAACAATTCTAAAGATTAATGATGATGTTATGTATGCTCTAGACAATGGACTCTCTGTTCTTGCAGTATACTTAGATCTATCAGCTGCATTTGACACCATCGACCATACAATTCTCATCAATAGACTTGACGAAATTGGCTTCTCAGGAAAAGCGCTTGAACGGTTTTGCTCCTATCTAACATCTAGAAAACAATCAGTTAGTGTTTCTACTTCGGTATCTGCCCCTGAAAATCTCTATTGTGGTGTACCTCAAGGTTCCACTTTAGGACCAATACTTTTCCTTACCTACGTTTGTCCACTTAGTCAAATAATCTCCAAACATGCATGCAAATACCATATATATGCTGATGACATCCAACTTTATATATCATTTAAACCTCAGTTACTTGACGAAGCAGTGAAGTCTATAGAAGCATGTCTAGTAGATGTTCAGTTATGGTTAGCATCAATTAAGCTCTGTTTCAACCCTAGTAAGACAGAAGCACTATTTTTCCACTTGCGCTATCGTAAAAACTTGCCGACTGATGTTAGTATTAGTGTTGGTAACACCACCATCTTGTCTTCCACTACTGCTCGGAACATTAGAGTCATTTTCGATTCTTCCATGACGCTAGAAAAACATGTTAAATACATCTGCAAATCTGCCTCTTATCATATCAGAAACATCAGTCACATTAGACGTTTCTGAAATGAATATGCTGCATCCAAGCTTGTACATGCTTTGGTTACATCCCGAATTGACTACTGTAATGGATTCCTTTGTGGATTACCAAACTCGATGATCAAGAAAATACAAACCAATTAAATTCTGCAGCTCGCCTTATTAAACAAATTCCTAAAAGACATCACATTACCCCTATACTCAGATCACTGCACTGGCTTCCAGTACGACAGCGTATTGCATTTAAAATTCTTGTCTTTACTTACAAAACGCTTCATAATTCCTCGCCATTTTACCTTAAGGAACTCATGCAGCTCCGGTCAACATCATGCAGTAGAACACTTAGATCTACGTCAAGCTCTACAACACTTTCACTCTCTTGGAGCCGCACTAAATACGGAGAGAGGTGTTTCCGGGTTGCAGCTCCTAAACTTTGGAACACACTTCCCAGTACCATTCGTGAATCAACCTCCCTTGCGGTATTTAAACTAAGACTTAAAACACACCTTTTTCAAACCTTGTAATTTTTTATTTTGTTTTTTTTTTTTATATTTTTGATAGGCTATTTAGTTACCCAACACCATTAGAGCATCTGTGAGTTGTGGTCTTGCCAACTGCTGCTTAATTGCCAGTGGTCTCAAATTGCAGGAAAACGATCGCATTGGTGTTGGCTCTTCTGCAATAGTCTGTCTCTTCTGACTTTTAGTTTCTGTGTAGCCTAGGGTAGCTTTGTTTTTTCTTGTTTTTCGCATAGAGACCATGTACTTTGCGCTATATAAGGCTCCAACCATTACCATTACCATATGTATACATAAGTTGCTAGCTATAATATTACAGTTAATTAAGAGTTCTAAGTCTGCTTTCAGTGTTGGAACAGGTCACAATATCATCGTTTACCATTTTGATTGTGAATACTATTTTGTATTGCCTGTATGACTGCTCATTTGTGGATTTTATATATTGTTTATTAACTTTTCTTTAATTAATACTCTTTTGGTTGATGCCATTAATTTATAAATATATGTTAACTTTTAATTACCAATGACCTGAGGGAAGAAAGTTCAACAGCATTTAGGCAAGTCCACCGTTCTTCTTAAAGTCCAAGACAAAAAAAAAACTCGTTTGATGAAAAACTGGGGAACGGTGAATGAGATACAGATTTTTTAATATTTAAAAACTGGGGGAATAAGGTGTGAAAATGGGCAGTTGCGCCCTTTTCCCCCCAGTTTTTAAATATTAAAAAATCTGTATTTCATTCAATTTTTTCTGTCTTAGAAAAATCAGTTCTACAACATATCAAATTTTTCCCCCTCCGGAGCCTGACTTTAAAGGCACTCTGTATGCATTATTACATCTCTAAGTCCAGGCTTTATTTTATATTATATAATATTACGTCACTGTTTTATAATCATTGAAATGGTGGGCTATCAGCATTATATAGTAACATTGTATGTACTGTATGAGTATGTTTATCATTCCATAATGATCACTTCAAACAGTTTAATTACCTATCGCATTTTCATTTATTATTTTCATTATATAAACTATTACATTGATACAGAATGTGAATTAAATGTTTTAAGGATGTTGTATATCACGGTTTTCAGACTAGTTATTAGAAATTTTTAAAACCACTATATTTTTTACTTACATTATATTATATTTTCATAAATATTTCACATACACATGTTTTTAAAAATATAAATGTGTTTATTCTAATCTGCAACTTGTTTATATGACTAATATTCAGCATTAAAAAAATATATTAACAAGGGTGATCATACATACGTTTGTAATTAAACCAATTGAGTTGGTGTTACCTTAGTACACTGCAACTGGATTTTTTTAAAAGTATAATATAGTTTTTAGAGCTGAGCAAATGTTTCACTATGAGATATTCAAAAGAATATTTTTGGTTAAGTCAAGTTTAACAGTAATGAAAAATCACAAAAAAGTACAGTACAGTATTAAACATTAAAGGATAAACACATAACGCTACGTAAGTGTAAGTAATTTTGTATTGTTGACCTCTTTTGTATCTTTATCCCGGAGCATCACACGACGTAGTTGGAATCATACCTGTGACCAGAGGCCGACCTAAGGATATCCACGGTTCAATGTACAGCGCTTGTTCAAGTTTTGAAAACGTCTTGGAACACCGATCCAACTCAAAAGTTTTACCGTTATTTTGATGTTTTTAAACATTTTTAAAACATTCTTAAAAAGTGTTACAAGACCAAAGTGAATGTAACTAGAGTTAAAAAGAACTCTAGTTACATTGACTTTGGTATTGTAACACATTTTAAGAATGTTTTTAAAACGTTTAAAAACACCAAAATAACGTCATAATGACGTTTCTGAATGTTAAATTGAAACTTTATTAAAACGTTTTAAAAACTCCACATAAATACGTTTTTAAAACGCAATATTATAACGTTTTACAAACGTAATAAATACCCTTTGTAAACGTTTTTAAAACCTGATACAAGACCAAAGTCGATGTAACCAAGGTTATTTTTACGTTATAATAACGTTTTTAAAACGTTACATTAAAAAGTTATTAAAACGCTTTCAAAACCCCACAAAATTACGTTTTGAAACGTTTTTTGAACCAACTCCATACGTTATAATAACGTTTTTTTAACGTTAAATTATTAGCTGGGA